TTCCATATCAAATATCAGATTCTGATATTATTATAACCATTTAGTATAATTAACATTGTACAACGCTGAATTGCTGTAAATGACTAGAAATTGCTAATAGAAAGACAAATGCTGCAAGGGGCACTAACAAAAACTGTGGTTCAATACAGGTAGAACCAGCCTTCGCTGGGCGCTCCGTTTTCTCTAGCTACGCTTCCGTGCACCTGTAGGGCTTGCCGCCACACATGCATGTGTGTTACGGGAGAAAATTTGTGGGAAACTCCTACCAAATATAACAGTATTATTAGCGCTCGTAATCGAATTCGAAAATTACTGAAACTCGTACGTATCGACAGGAATACGAGATGACCTGCATATATTATACAGGTGGCTCGTTAATAGAGATATGAAACATCAAGAAGGCGACCAGGCGCTCAGTTCTTGTTCAATTCCAGTTGAGAAGCAAGCGGTAAAGGCCCGCCCGCCTATCCTAAAATTCGGGTGAGTCGTGCTCAGTACCCCTACATGAGCCAAACTGTTGAACAGGTGTTGATTAGCTTGCATGACATAGGACGCGGATCAATATTCCAATACTAAATTCAGCTGAGCATTAATGCCAGAGCCAAGAATTAAATAAAACATTATAAAAATTATATTTAACAAAATTTATAGCTTATTACCTGCTATTAAAACTCAGATGAAGATGGCAAATTTTCAGATGAAGATGGCAAAACCTGCATAATATTCTTCTTTTACAAAAAAATATATTAAAATGTTGTCTTTGGCTATAAATTAAAAATGTCACGATGCAATGATCGCGATCGTGAGTCATTGGAGCAGGTCCTAATTGACAAAAATAATTTGTATGATTTTAATTCATTAGTCTATATAACAATATTAACTCTATCTAATTTTTCGAAAAATTTATACTGTCATAAATTTAAACAGAGTTCATTGACAAGTAGTTAATGGCCGTTATGCAAACTCTGCATACAAATTATTTGTCTGTTAAGTGTTCATCACTACTTTCTGTCGTCTTCAGCAAACATCCAATTGCATCTCAGAAGCATTTTTACCTTTATGTTACCGAAAATGGCAACCATGGTTTCAAACAATGTTCTTGTCTTTTCAGTTGTGTTTAAATTCATTTCGTGATTATTGGAGTTTAGGGAAATATTGGAGTCATTATATACAATTCTCTTGGGCAAAAAAAAAATACAGCGACATCTTACTTGATGGGAAACTTGGCACTGGCAGATGTTCTCGTACGTTTAACATTTTATCCAATATGGATCATTGAGCTAATCCAGACTATCTTAAACATTGATAGTGACTAGGATCAGTATTTTGTAAGTTACAAAATTATGGCGAAAACGTTTTTTCAGCTTCTCCAAATGTTGTTAAGGTCTCGAGATATTTTGACTGAATCATGAGAAATCAGTGGTTGTCCGCCATCTTGGATTAGTGCATGTGGATATGTACGTATGTTACGTCACAAGCAGAGTCATAGAAATTTTTTAATCAGATATCCTGAGGTCATTATGAGCCCAAAACTATACTTTGGTCATGCACTGTTTCAAATACTAAATTGACTGAGAACATTGCCATGCAGCATCTACTGATTGCTATTTGCATGGTTACATGGCAGTGATTTTATACGTGCAAAACCTGCCTTCGATGTCACCAAGCCCACCGTTAGTGAACTATTACAAGATCGCGGACAGGTTATTGTTTTCAGTCAAGATATTTCAAGAACTATTTAAAAATCGACATATTCATTGCCTTGCTACATGTTTGGTACCAGAATACTCGTCTAAATCTTCTCATTTCATTTCATTTCATTTCATTTCAAATTCATTTCCGTAGTCGTCGCTTAGCTACAGCCTGAGCCTGCGCATGCTACACTAAAGGCCACAACCTGAGTGTATACTTTATGGTTTGCTTTGCTTTATGAACAACACCCACGCGAATATTTGAAATTCCGGATGCCTTGATAGGGCGTGAACGGACAATTAGGAATTCTTGTGGATAAACGGAAAGGCTGCTGACCGACTGGTATGCTTGCACAATGTCCGTCATTTCTGGATATGGTAAAGAACTAATAAAACGAATCTACCATTAAGCATCAAACAATGGTACTTACTGTTGAATTAACGCTTAACCGTACCCTGCATTTAATAGATTAAATTCTCATGCTATAGAGAGCTTAAATGTGGTGTAATATGTAAATATGTTCCTCACAACCGGACATTGGTGTTTGACAGATTATGATTAATTAGCGTCGCTGCGAGAAAAAAAATTATATTATAAAGCATACTAAGCATAATACTAAACATTAAAAGTCTTGCATGATATTTCCTTTATAGAATCAATTCGTAATATTGTCTTAGTAATTAGTTTGTGTATATATTAATTTAGAACGAGGCAATATGATCTGCTACATGATATGATATTACTAGTGGACGGATATTCGGCAATACGTCCATTTGTGGAAAGTGGTCTTGATGGTCGCTTTGAATCTTCCAGCATTTCCTTTCACGCTAGTTATCTTATCCTGGTTCTCTTCAAATGGGATGATATATAGTTTTAACTCGCAAAAGCAGTTCTTGAGTATTTTCGCAACCAGAAAAACAAGTTTGTAGATTCACTATGACATCGAGAAGCAAATCGTTCATCTTTCTATACGTGGTTGAAGACGAATAACGTGGAGTGATGGATATATGGTGCACCAGTGGGTTACGCAGGGTACGAAGAGATCCAACAATAACGCGCAGAAGCCTGGTCGCGGATCAATGATGTGTCCGACTATCAATGAGGAGTCCGATTGTCTACGGAAAAAAATTTGCCGCTTAAATGAGTAGTTGCTACTCTGGACGTAAGGCAAGGGTGCAAGAACGACAACCACTAGCACTCTTTTTCCAGTGCGGATCGCACGTTTCCAATCTTGTGATGCAACATGCTGTAACATCCTGTCAATTAATTCGAGATTCCCTGCAATAGCTGAATGAGCTACAATCATGGCCAAATGTTGTGGAACGTAAAGTGCGATTTTGTGTTTTTACCCTTAATTTGAATAAAAAGACCCCTTCCCCCCAGTCAATGTTGTTTGGGATTGTTTTCTGCTCGGAATAAGCATCACGCAATCTGATTTATTATCCCTAGGATTAACATTGGAAAGGGGGGCCGGGGGAGTTCCGCTTTCGTGAAATCTGTGACAATATTGTAACTCGCGCGCCTTTACTTTTTAATTAGCTTGCGTTCCACAAACATTTGGCCATGATTGTCTGAAAGTGTGACTATATTCAAATTATATTTTTATTTATTTAAAACATAAGAAAATAGATTTCATTTAGATTATGGATTTAGTAGAACTTTTTACACGAAAGCAGACGATTCCGATGATATGTTTCAATACGATTAATGTGACGCATGACGGGTTTCATAATTACCAGCGCTGGCTGTGAAATATGGCATTTAATTAGTTCACGTTCGTAACCGTACATTTCTCACTCAGAAATCGTAAAGAAATAAGACAGATCTACCATTAAGCATCGAACAATGGTACTTACTGTTGAATTAACGGTACTTACTGTTGAATTAAAGGTTCTTTAAATATCAATTTTTTTTTTAATATTCACTAGCTTTTGAAAACGCGATTTATAGGTGTTACTCCAGAGTAAATTACCATAAGTTAGATATGGATAGATGAAAGCATAATAATTATATTAGCTTTAAGGAATATAAGTTTGTGAAATGTCGAATCCTGGAAATAATTGCCGCACATTTGATAATTTTTTTGTAATCAAATCCAAGTGATTACCCCATGTCAGAAATTGGTCAAAAACAATTCCTAGAAATGTGATGTTTTTGACTTGTCTTATATTGTTATTATTTATTGAAATGTTTACTGAATCATTAAGAGCCGACCAATGACTCTCGGTTCCAAAAATGAAATTCTTCGTTACTTTCACAATGAAATGTATTTACCCCAAGAACAAACAAACACTATTTGGAATTTTGAAATTTTATTAATTTTTAAAATTTCAGCGATTTTTCGGCCCGCGCCGTCGGCCAGAAAATCCTCTGCCTATATCAGGCATAAATATTAGCCGAATTCAAATACATATAATTTTAAAATTATTCGACCAAATTTTATGATTTTTTAACCCACCAACGTGAAAATTATTTTACTTTGAAATTTGCCTTGTTTTATGATGCTTTTACAGAACGATTATGGCCGCAAACTTTAGAGATAACAAGCACCGGGTCTAAATACGGCTTTATATACACATTTCAAATTCGACATTAAATTTCTCAAAAGTGGCACCTAACTGGATTCTGGGACTAATATGGTTTAAAAAATGGAAGTTTGAAGTACCCATATCCATAATAAAACTTGTTACTTGTCGATTTGAAGACTCGACAGCCTCTGAAATTTGATACAATTTGGCTATTTTGTTTAGCTTCAATTAGAGCGGAGTTGAGACGTCAGAGCTTCCAGTCTCTTGTAAAATGCGCTGTTGTTCCGCTTTTTACACAAGCCGTTGATATCATCGTAGTGATTTTTCTGTAGTCATGAACATCACAAGTGGATTTAATTCGAAAAGATTTCGATCGATGCAGCGAGGTAAACGTGGTACGATTTCGTATATAATTAGCTACTCGGGGAAAACCTGGAAATTATTGTGAATGTTAATATATATTAATCTAAACTCTGTATGTCTATTCTGCATATACCCGTCGCGTTTTAGGGGTGGCGTATTTCTGTTGGGAGTTTTGTTGGGCAAACAAGCCCAACGGAAGTGCCGTGATTCATTCCTTATGAAGAATGGGCATTGAACTGCGCATGCGCTGAGGGTTATGGATGTTTGGTTGTCATACTGGTTTCTAAATGCGGGTTTTTTTGCCAGGGGAATTTGTTCCTCTCATTCTCTCAACGAAATAGCATTTCTGGAGTTGTGACAAACAAAACCAACTCCAACACGTCAAACAAATCCAACAAGTCAAACAAACCCAATAAGTCCAACAAAAACCAACAAGTCAAACAAAACCAACAAGTCAAACAAACCCAACAAGTCCAACACGCCAAACAAGTCCAACAAGCCAAACAAAACCAACAAGTCCAACAAACCAAACAAGTCAAACAAAACCAACAAACCCAACAAGCCAAACAAATCCAACAAGTCAAACAAGCAAACAAAACCAACAAACCCAACACGTTCAACAAGCCAAACAAACCCAACACGCCAAACAAGCCAACACGTCAAACAAATCCAACAAGCCAAACAAGTCAAACAAACCCAACAAGCCAAACAAGTCCAACAAGTCAAACAAACCCAACACGCCAAACAAATCCAACAAGTCAAACAAGCAAACAAAACCAACAAACCCAACAAGCCAAACAAATCCAACAAGTCAAACAAGCCAACACGTCAAACAAATCCAACAAGCCAAACAAGTCAAACAAACCCAACAAGTCCACCAAGCAAACAAAACCAACACGTCCAACAAGCCAACACGTCAAACAAATCCAACAAGGCAAACAAGTCAAACAAACCCAACAGGCCAAACAAGTCCAACAAGTCAAACAAACCCAACAAGCCAAACAAATCCAACAAGTCAAACAAGCAAACAAAACCAACAAACCCAACAAGCCAAACAAATCCAACAAGCCAAACAAATCCAACAAGTCAAACAAGCAAACAAAACCAACAAACCCAACACATCCAACAAGCCAAACAAAACCAACAAGCCAAACAAAACCAACAAGCCAAACAAATCCAACAAGCCAAACAAGTCCAACAAACCCAACACGCCAAACAAGCCAACACGTCAAACAAATCCAACAACAAGCCAAACAAGTCCAACAAACCCAACAAGTCGAACAAGTCAAACAAACCCAACAAGTCCAACAAGCCAACACGTCCAACAAGCCAACACGTCAAACAAAGCCAACACGTCAAACAAATCCAACAAGCCAAATAAGTCCAACAAGTCAAACAAAACCAACAAGCCAACAAGCAAACAATCCAACAAGTGAAACAAGCAAACAAAACCAACACGCCAAACAAGCCAACACGTCAAACAATCCAAACAAACCCAACAAGTCCAACAAGCCAAACAAGTCCAACAAGCCAAACAAGTCCAACAAGCCAAACAAGTCCAACAAGCCAAACAAAACCAACAAGTCCAACAAACCAAACAAGTCAAACAAAACCAACAAGCCAAACAAATCCAACAAGTCAAACAAGCAAACAAAACCAACAAACCCAACACATCCAACAAGCCAAAGAAAACCAACAAGTCCAACAAAACCAACAAACCCAACAAGTCCAACAAACCCAACAAGCCAAACAAGTCCAACAAACCCAACAAGCCAAACAAGCCAAACAAGTCCAACAAAACCAACAAGTCAAACAAATCCAACAAGCCAAACAAGTCAAACAAACCCAACAAGTCCAACAAACCCAACAAGCCAAACAAGTCCAACAAACCCAACAAGCCAACAAAACCAACAAGCCAACAAAACCAACAAGCCAACACGTCAAACAAATCCAACAAGCCAAACAAGTCAAACAAACCCAACAAGTCAAACAAAACCAAACAAGTCCAACAAGTCAAACAAAACCAACAAGTCAAACAAAACCAACAAACCCAACAAGTCCAACAAACCCAACAAGTCCAACAAACCCAACAAGTCAAACAAAACCAACAAGTCAAACAAAACCAACAAACCCAACAAGTCCAACAAACCCAACAAGTCAAACAAAACCGACAAGTCCAACAAACCCAACAAACCAAACAAGTCAAACAAATCCAACAAGTCAAACAAAACCAACAAGTCCAACAAACCCAACAAGTCAAACAAAACCAACAAGTCAAACAAAACCAACAAGTCAAACAAAACCAACAAGTCAAACAAAACCAACAAGTCCAACAAACCCAACAAGTCCAACAAACCAAACAAACCCAACAAGTCAAACAAAACCGACAAGTCCAACAAACCAAACAAGTCAAACAAATCCAACAAGTCAAACAAAACCAACAAGTCCAACAAACCCAACAAGTCCAACAAATCCAACAAACGCAACAAGTCCAACAAACCCAACAAGTCA